GTTCCATTTTAATAGTGGAATGTCGAGTGTGATTGTAAGCGCGATGCCTTGCAAAACATTTATGTAGCGATGTGTATTCCTGTGTATAAAATAGCGCCATAAACGTTCTTTGAGCGTTCTGTTGAAGCGCTCGATCACCGCTGCGTTGACATCAGGATTTCGCACCGTGCGGAAACTTATATTCTTTTCCTTCAGAAATTTTTGAAATGACCGATGAATTCTTTACCCTTGTCACTCTGCAACCACACCGATACTCGCGCTCTGCTTCTTAAGAACACGTGACGAAAAGCTTCCGTCACGCTGGCCGAAGTCTTATTTCGTATTGGTTCTACTCAGACAAATTTGCTAAACACATCGATGATTGTCAACAAGTAACAATAGTCCTCATTATAATTTCGGAGATTAGCGAGTTCGACCAAATCAGCCTCCCACAGATCGTCGATATTCGTGACGCTGTAATGAAATTTATGCCGTGTCGGTCGATTAAGTGTGTATGCATCCTGCGCCTGAAGTCAACGAATAATCTCTTCACGCGTGGAGCTAGGTCCTGCTGCTCGCGAGAAATTTTTTATCGCAGAATATCCTGCATAGTGTGCAGGATCATTGTAGAATTTTGCGAGGTCGGTCATTCCAGTATGTTCCAATTGTTCGAACGTCTTTTACTCGCTGATTTAGAAGCCTTGTCGTTCACTCGCGTTTTACGCCTATATTGACCGGAAGTTATAAATGTCGCGTGTACACGCTCTGCGTCGCGTTCTTCAGCGAGAGACGTGTCTCTGATAGTACGTTTGCACGTTCGTCCTTTCGCTGGTGGAAGTCGATGTGCATAGCTGTTAGCCGGCGAAGAAGCTATACTCAATTCTAACGGATTCCAATCTATCACGCGTCTTTTACTCGTTGGTTTAGAAGTGTCACCGCTCATTTGCGTTTTATTTCTATTCTCATTGGTTGTTACAAACAGAGCCCGTCCATCCTCATGATCTTTTTCCTCAAGCGACGTCTGGGCAATCTTACGTTTAGACCAAAGCTTCTCGTTAGGTGATGGGAGTGGAGTGCTGCTACCTCTCGGAAGAGTTTCTCTCAATCTCGCGGAAAGATCATTTTCTTCCGTGACTGCTTCCAGTAATTCTCGATTTCCAACAAATTCCGGAGGAGTACCCACTTCACGCAAAAGTGCAACTGTACTCTCGTGCAAACTGTACTCTCGCTACTGCTCTACTGGTTTTTCGTTCACGAGCTGCGTCGTTCAAGAGGTCGATGATATTCGATCCTCTCAGAATTCTATCATCTATTGTCAGGACTCCTTGTATGTCCCAGCTTAATCGCCCGGGTACCGCCGCATCACACAAATGTGCCAGCAGCTTGCGCGCTTTAGCTCGGTAATTCTTTGGCACTTTATTCAGTATTCTTCCGATACTTTTCTGTTCGTTGGTGCGGTGGTGACAACTACGTGTATCGGCTCGTGCCTGCTGAGAAACGTTCAACGTTCGATGTACGCCGGTATCTATATTGGGAATATCTTCATTTGCATCTATACCTGCGTTTTCTTCTACCGCGTTTCCGTCAGCGTATTTGTCATCTTCGCAAGGGGTATCTCCTCTTTTCCCAGCATTTTCATTATCGTCGACCTCACCACTAACAACGGATTTCTTTTCTTTTTTTCCGCGTAATCGGCGCTTTTCCCACTCCGAAAAAAGTACAGCTGAAGCACCTCTCTATACAATCTCCATTTTTCCCATGCTCCTCCGAGGACCGAAGAGTTGAGAATTCTATGCATCTCTGCGCCGAGACACGATAGGACGGAACCCGGAGTACGCACCGTATTTTCATTCTCTACTGATGCTATGTTCAACGCAGTTGCGGAATTATCTGTCAAAACAGAGAGAATCGCAGTCGAGGAAGACGCCAACGACGACGACACCGAGGTCGGCGATATATGACAGTGCTGCTGCAATCTCTCAAGATTATCTGTAAAAATCAGTACCATCTTCTTGGTTCTTTCCATAGTTCAAGTGCGAACAGTCTCAATTACCGATAATTTTGGATAATATAGCCCCGAGTATAGGGCCAATCAGATAAAGTAGAAATCCTCCACGCTGCACTATCACTCTCCGTTTACCTTTCCAATCGGCACGATTATTAGCGATATGACGTTGATTTGTAATGTGATAGACGGTTTTATTCCCTTCTGCCGAGCGGTACGTTACCTTTGAGCGTGTTAAAGGCGCACTCGCAAATACATCTGATGAAATCACGGTCAGCTTCTCGCAGAAAGGCAGCGCGTTGTTTCTCCGTCAAATAATACAACGCCTTCAGAAGAGAGATGTTTTTCTCATCGATGGATCGTTTTGCCACGCTTGCTGCTTTATCGTTCTTTTTTGCATTCGTTCTGCTTCCACCACCCATTGCCATTACGACGACAAGACTGTCGCGGAATGAGCACATGCACGGGTTTTATACGTAACTTCTGGTGGATCTCTGTCGAACGTAAACATAGTGTGTATTATCGATTGGGAGGATACATGTACGAAACCGATACTCATCCGGAGTAGATTGTTTCAGATCGAGCAACAGATATCCATGTGGAAACGATGTAGCGTCATAGTAAACTTCTTCCAAAAGCTTTGAATCTTCCGGGCATACCTGTCTGGCCAAGTGGCGAATCTGAGCACGATCGCGGGGGTTTTTGAACACCACGATGTAATTGGTGTTGAGAGAAATATCTCGTTGCCCTCGTCCTTGATGAAATAGATTTTGCGAAATGAGTATAACACTAAGGTTTTTGTGATGACTCCCCTTCGTGAACAGATCGACAATTACTTCGCATGATGACGATTCCCTCATGAGATCGTCAATTATCACCAATTTCGCGACAAGCGGGTCGTTTGAATAATCATCCGTGCGCGGTAAGCCTTCTCGAAATTCTATTATGCATCGGCCCGATTTCACTACTTCATGCTGTAGTTGCCGGTAAGCCTCTTGTCACTCGGCATAATAAAATAGGATTCTTCCGAAAATAGAGTATCCGCCATTACGGGTAAATAACGAAGAAAAGTCTTTACGAAAACCGTTTTCCCACAACCCGTAGGACCGCAAACGATAGATGTCCAAGGATGTTTCCAGCGTACATTCATTTTACTAAATGACTGATTCTGTTACCTAGTGAAGCTACATAAATACTGGAGAAAAGAAGAAACAGCGATGAGCTTATAACCCGCGCTGCGGGTCTTCCGCGGCGGGCCCGATAGCACATCCACGGATATCCACGGAAGCGTCACGTTGAATAAGCTTCTTCACGTGACGCTCGCGGCCGCGGGAACAGTTTATTTTAGCGTAGCTAACGATATTAGCTTGTCAGCGCAAAGCTGTGAGCTAATAATCGTTCAATGAGTTCGTACGAACGAACATTTGTGGAAGAGACAGCTTCTAGCGATACAATTTGCTAAGATTTTATTGTGATTCGTGGGAGTGTATTCAAGGATAGAAATATATATATTAGGAGCGCAAAAAAGTTCTGAGCCCTAGATTTCATACTACTGAAACCACAATTTAAATTGCCTTAATTTTCCCGCCCCCTTGCGGTTTTAAAGCAGTGACATTTGGTCTTTCGAAACATCGTGTGATTTGGCGTTTGATGCACACAACCTTAAAATCAGCAGTGTTCACGATGGCAATAACAAAAGAGCATATTCGATTTTCCATCCACTTCGCGTTTCATCTGAAGAAAAATGCTGCTTAAGCCACTGAAATGATCTGTGTTGCATATGGAGAGAACGCTGTAAGTTATGCTACGTGTAAAAGGTGGTATCAAAAATTTCGCCAAGGAGATTTCAGTCTTGAAGATGAACCGCGTGCTGGACGCCCTCAAAAGATTGAAACGGACGAACTGCAAGCTTTGTTGGATATAAACTCTGCACAAACTGAAAAGGAGCTTGCAGAGCAACTTGGCGTTACGCGACAAGCCATTTCCACACATTTACATACAATGGGAAAAAGGAAGGCAGATGGGTTCCGCATGCACTGTCCGAAGACAACAAAAATCGACGGCGTGACACGGCACTCACTTTGCTTTCAAGGTTCCGGAAAAAGGATTTCCTGCACCAAATCATTACAGGTGATGAAAAGTGGATACTTTATGATAATCCGAAGCGTAAAAAATCATGGGTTGACCCTGGTCAACCTTCGACATCGACGCCAAAGACCAATATCCACGCTAAGAAGGTTTTGCTTTGCATATGATGGGAATGGAAAGGTGTATTGTATTACGAGTTGTTACCGAGCGGGTGAAACAGTAACGGCAGATCGCTATCAGCAACAATTGAGCAATTTGAGCGATGCGTTTGAATAAAAGAAGTCATTTACTGGCAAAGGACGTCGTAAAGTGATACTGCTTCATGACAATGCCCGACCACATGTTGCGAAAGTGACTCAGGACCATATCTTTGCGTTAGGCTGGGAACTTCTCCCGCACGCGGCATATAGCTCAGACATGGCGCCTTCCGATTACTACCTATTCCGGTCTCTGCAGCATTTCTTGGCTGATACACATTTTGTGACACTTGAAGAGATACGAAAATGCATTGATGACTTTATCGCCTCGAAGCCGGTGAGCTTCTACCATCAGGGAATTCGCAAGCTGCCCGAAAGATGGCAAAAGGTCATCGATGCAAACGGGGAATATTTCGTTGATTAATATAGTTTTGTTTATTTTTAAATAAATTTTGAATTTTGCAAAAAAGGGCTCAGAACTTTTTTGTGTTCCTAATATTCAAAAAGCTATGTAATCCTCTTTAAAAAACTGAAAATTAAGAAAAAGAATATAAGATTAAAAATAATCTTAACAAGGCAATCTGAAATAATTCCATAGTCAGATAAATATTATCATCTTTTTTTTCTTTTTCTCTTTATCCAAAACACCTTTCCGGATTTTTCTTAGATATTTTAGATGAACATTTTAGATGAGACACATTGTGCGCGCGTGTGTATGTGTGTATGTTTACCTTAAGTCCATTAATGTACACAGGATTAATCTCACTGAGTCCAAGACGGAGTGGAATTAATAATAGCAAAGGCTTCCACTGGTTAGGTGCTTTCAAAGTCATTTCTTCATCTACTTCCGCTGTCACACTGCCGTCCACTTTACATTGCTTCACTGTGAATACATACATCTCATGATATTTATACATCACGATATATAATTAAACAAAACATAGTGAATTAAAATCAATATTGATCCATCAATTAATAGTTCAAATATAAATATTAAAACATATTAGCTTTAGTTTTTTAATTTTAATTTTATTTTTTCAGAAACAATTGTAGAAATTTAAAATAAAAGGGATAAATGAAAAAACAAAATAAAAATAGAATTAAAGAATAAGAAAAAGAAACTATAATGTACAAAATTACATTCATATAGTAATAATGTACAAAGTATCTCATAACTAATGTTGTAGAGATCGTGGAGACATAAAGCGGGTTAAGACAAACATAAAATCCCATATCGTTTTGCGAGATTCGCAATAATTATCGAGTTATTAATGACAGAAATCTGAGGAGTGGGAACGTGCCGACATACAGTCCCTGGCCAAATTAATAGACGCACCATGTATTTTTCTATTTTTTCTAATTAACTATGTTATTTATCCTAATTCTATTTGATTGAGGCAATTGAGTTGTGAAAATAATGTTAGATAATTGTTTTTAGTATTCAATTATGCTATTTTATCGATGTGTCACGTCACTAGCTATCAAATTTCGCTTTTGTCTTTAACCCTTTAACGCCCGACTTTTTTTATAAGTGTTTTAAGAATAAAATTTGATTTTTTTTAACTGAGACTATAAGTAGTGATAACCAAAAAAATATCAGAATTTTATATTGGTTTTCTTATCATTCGTTTTTTGTTTATTGGTAAATATGACTTGGATCCTGAAAACATATACGAGATGAGCAACTTATACAGAGAAAAATGAAGGGTAATCTATACGAAATAACTCTGATAGTCAGCTTGAAATTTTTGAGCTGAAACTTTACTATACAAGGTATGTAAATATGAAACCGGAATTTTTGTATAGAAAATACACGTTTATTGTATGAAAATGATAAAAAATATTTTATTCGAAATATTACCCATCGCTAGCTATACATTTTTCCCACCTGTCTGACAATTTGTGGATGTCACGCCAAAAAAACTGTTGCTCTTTTGAGGCAAACCAGTCATCGAGCCATTTTCGTACATTTTCGTAAGAAGTGAAGCGCTGCTCAGCAAGTGCGTGTCCCATCGATGCAAATAAGTAGTAATCGGACGAAGCCAAGTCTGGTGAGTAAACCGCATGCGAAGGTATTTCCCAACTAAACGCCTCAATCGTTTCCTTGACAGTTTTGCTGTGTGATGGTGCATTATCATGAAGCAAAATCACTTTGTGTTGCCGTTTTTGATATTCTGGTCGTTTTTCACGCAAAGCTTGATTCAAATCGATCATTTGTTGTCGGTAGCGTTCAGTATTAACAGTTTCGCCAGATTTTAGCACCTCATAACAGATCACACCCTTCTGATCCCACCAAACACAGAGCATTGTCTTCCGTCCATAGTGATTTGGTCTTGCAGTCGATGTCGATGGTTCGCCTGGAGTTACCTATGATCTTTTACGCTTAGGATTCTCAAAATATATCCATTTTTCATCGCCAGTCAATTCGATGGAGAAATGACTTTCTTTTGTACCTGGCGAGCAGCATTTCGCAAGTGGTTTTTCGGTTTTTCTGCTGTCTTTCGTTCAGTTCATGTGGAATCCATTTTCCCATCTTCTGGATCTTTCCCATGGCTTTCAAACGTATGGAGACGGCTTCTCGTGTCACATTTAATTGATCCGCGAGTTGTTGTTGCGTTTGAACGTAATCCTCATCCAACAATGCTTGCTATTCGCTGTCATCAAACTTTTTCGGTGGTCTTCCACGTTCTTCGTTTCTCACGTCAAAATCGCCACGTTTGAATTTTTTAAACCACTCAAAGCACTGTGATTTACCAAGAGCATGCTCACCGTATGCTTCGACAAGCATTCGATGCGATTCTGCAGCAGTTTTCTTCAAATGGTAACAGAAAATCAATGCTGTCCGCAAATCGTAGCTTTCAGGCACAAAATTCGACATGTTCAACGCTATTACAAACTATGCTGTTGTATGAAACTTATATTGTTGTGAGTTGAAAATCTTTGTCAGATGTCAACAAATGGAAATGACGCCAATGACACGGTTTGACGGTAACTACATTGACAGCTGGGGCCATCTATAGGCAAATTCTGGTTTTATATTTACAGACCTGGTATTTGTGAGTGAAGTTTATCATTCAGAGCGTCAAGCTTACTGTTTCAGAAGAATATCTTATAAAGGGTTTTTCAATAAGGGCGGGTCGATGTTGCAATGGAATAAAACCAGCTGTGTGAGATATTAACGAAATTATTTCTTTATTTGAAAGGCCCATGTATGCCATTATGTGTGGAATATAACATCCTTCAAATGTCCGCCGCGGCTTCTCACGGTGGCACGGATCCGAGTGGCCCAATTTTCAATGATTCTGCCGCATAGATCCGGCTGAATTTGAGCGATGGCCTGGATTATGTTGACTTTAAGAACATCGGTCGATTGCGGCTTATTGGCATAGACCTGCGACTTCAGAATATCCTACAAGAAAAAGTCTAGCGGAGTCAAATCGTACGATCTTGGTAGCCAATTCACGTCACCTCTGCGAGAGATAACCTAACCTCAAATCGTTCATGCAGAATGTCCATCGTGGCGTCCGCTGTGTGGCACGTAGCGCTGTCCTGCTGGAACAACATGTCGTCTGCGTCCATATCGTTCAATTTGGTCCAAAAGAAATTGGGTATCATCGTTCTGTTGCGCTCGCCATTGACGGTGATGGCCTCACCAACGTCGTTTTCGAAAAAGTACGGACCAATGACGCCGCCGGCCCAAAATCCGTACCAAACAGTAACTTTTTGTGGATGCATTGCTACCTGTTGAACCTCGTGTGGGTTGGCGTCGTGCCATATACTTGTCGTGAAATTATGCTTGTTAACATAGCCATTCATCCAAAAATGCGTCTCGTCGCTAAAGATGATTTTTCGGCCAAAATTGGGGTCCTCTTCCAAATGTTCCGAAGCCCAGTCAGCGAACAAACGGCGTTGTCTATGGTCATTAACTTTGAGCTCCTGGGCCAGTTGGATCTTGTATGGGTGCAGGCCCAAGTCCCGACGCAAAATTCGCCAAGTTGAAATCTGCGAAAGGCCGAGTTCTTGTGCACGGCGAGGAATTGACTGCCTCGGGTTCTCCTGCACACTTTCACTTACAGCGGCGATGTTCTCGGCCGATCTGGCGTTCCTTTGACGTACGGGTGTTGGCTGATCGTTTACCGAACCGGTCGTCTCGAATTTGGCCACCAAACGTTGGAGAGTCGACTTTGAAGGGCCACCGCGTCTGCCGTAAAATGGGCGCAACGCGCGCAACGTTTGCACTAACGAACACTCATTTTGATAATAAAGTTTTATCATTTGGACGTGCTGCTCAATCGTGTAACTTGTCATGGTGATTTGGCATCAATGACTGAATAATAAACAACAGGTTAGACAGACGCCGCCAAAACAACATAGCCGCCACAGGCTGCCAACATCAACCCGCACCAATTGAAAAACCCTGTAGATCACCATTTAGATAATCAATCGTCCCTTCATTTTTCGTCGCATAAAAAACTGTATGTCACCAGATTTCACGAAAATAGATTGATTTCTTGGTTTTCGTGTCTACCATACCAGATTCGCCATTTTGAATTTCTGTATTCTTTTAATTTCACATTTTGCATCTGAGAAAGCTTCCAAATGTATAAAATTATAACAGATATCAATCTATTCATTTATTATAGTGCACTTCTATATGTCAGTAACAATGCTAACTATACCTACTTGGAATTTGACAAAACATATTATCATTAAAACTGAGCTAAAAACAGACTAAACCGAATCTGCATACAATCTATATACCATTTTTTAGAAGAAAAATTCACCTTTACAGTGATGCAAAGAAAACGAAAATATCTCCTTTTTTGAATAAGTTATGGATTCTTAAATGCGTTTCTGGTAATTATAGTTACCAGTAGGCGTTAAAGAGTTAAACAAGGCATGACACGCGCTAGTAGAACTGCCGCACGCTGCAGGAACGAACGTTTAAAGACAATGTGGCCGAAGTTTTTTTAATGTTTACTTGTTTCTTTACTTCGAATTTGTTCTTTTTAAAGTAAAATAGATGTTTTTAAATACAAATTATTGATTTTTACCTTTACAAGTATCGGTAGAAAAAGTGACTTATCATCATCACAATTGTGTTTTATTTACTCTGTAATCCCATGTTACGGCCTGCGGACTTCAGGCAATTAAAACTTTTCTTTCTCTCCTCAAATTTCTATTCTTTTAATACAACAATGGACATAAGAAATAGACACATATGGTGAACAGCCTCAGCGTCAAACCAAAGGCGATTCGGAAAAATTCAATAACAGGAAGCAGTACCCTGTTGTAAAAATCTACACGTCTCTATTCAGAGCTTATATCTGGGAACTTTCACCAAATGTGTCCGTCGCTTTATTTATAAAATTTGACTCTGCATTAACAAATCCCCAGTAAAACAAGCAACTCTAAGCATTCCTGCTCTCAAACCTTAAAACCTGTGTCCTCTTAGTTTGAATCCATATGTACCCTACCAGTCAAATAATCGGAGTTAGTCACCAAATAACCTGTCACCATCTTTTCACGGTCGTCTTATCTTAACCTATGCTTTACGACATCCTGACTCTTCCAGTTGACCAAAACATATGATTCCTCTCCTTATCTTTCAAAATCTTCTTGTATTTATCCTACAAGAGTCCACCACTCCCGCACTTTTCATATCTAACGCATTCAGCCAATCATAACCAATCCGCCAAAAATTATGAGACATCCACGCTTCATCCCTTATTCCATCTATATTCATGTCTTCAAGAACTAACAGTCTCCTCCCATGAGATCTTTTAACTTCACCTTTAATTTCTAATGGCTAAGACTTTTCCACTAAGGTCAACCAGGACCAATAATAAAAAATTACTAATCAAATCTTTGACATCATTGAGC